GTCTCACAATTGACGCCCAGAGTCCCACATCGAAACTCTAAACAAATTGCACACCTCCCAAGGCCTATAAAAGAGGACACCCATCCCAGCTTGAAGGTAATCAATCAGAACTTACGGCATACTGCCTATTGATCTGTAGTTCAAACTTACTTAATCCGTACTTACTTAAGCATCGGAGAGCCTTCGGCCGGTACCACACCGGTGCCCTAGGATTACCGTGTGTTTGCTATCTTACAGATCGCACACCCTACCGAGGACATCAGATACCGAAGAGACCTAATCACTAAGTTACGCGGGAAAGTATTAAACCATTTTTCTGCGTCAACAATATCTACAAGAACTTAATGGGCAAGAACTCGAACATTTCTACAAATTGAAATGAGAGAAAATGCTTTTGATTGCTTTTCCAGGAAGACCTTCAATCTTGTACACCACACACAAGATTTAGCACACATTTTATACATAAACTTTGGTACAAGGCATTTTGCAGCTCACAAGTAAGCCTAATACAATCTTAAAATCCACAAAATAGAGCATTACAAGCCTGACCAAATACAAAAAGTCTGTTTACGAAAAGGAATCTTCTACTATGTGCCCAGAACAGGATATTGAATAATGAAAGGAAAGAATGACCAAAATAGAGCCACACATTTACAAGGAGAAGCTGATCCCCAATTTACAAGGAGAAGCTGTACATTGCAAATAGATGACCAAAACAAAGCCACACATTGTAATTTGAAATCAAGTCTGCTTTGGCTTTGGCTTAGTTAATTAAAATAACACTATAGCTAGAATTAATACATTAATCGGAGTGAGCTTGGATTAAAATGGATATGTCTATTTCTCTCAACAAACAAATAATAATAATAATAATAATAATAATAATCGGAGAACTCCGAATTAATTGTTCTGATAAATAATTAACACTAATATAACTCATATTTATTCCTACTAAGCACTCCAAATTAACTTGTAAACTCTTCTCCAGATACTTGTGCGTGCGCGAACTGGCAATCTTCAACACTTGAACTGAAAGGAGGCATAATTTAGATGCTGCAACTAAATATCAAAGTAAACAAATTAATACCCGTCAGTTTGGAGAAAAGAAAAAATGCAATAAGAAAATAATTATAAAACAAAATTAATGATGAGAGAGAAAGAGTACCATCGCGAGCTTATCTACTAAGCATATGCTAGCTTTAGTCGCCGCTTGATCAAAGCTATCTTCACATAAAGCCAATCATTTAAATCATTCAAGAACTTAAGTATGCGTATCTCCATGGCCTGTTGAATATCAAAGTGCCACAAACTCCCCAAAATCCAGCAGCAAACCCAATCCCCATACTGATGTAAAATCCCAATGTTATAAACTCATCCTTATCCTCTTCATTGATCAAGCCAGTTTGCTCATTTTTATCAGCACACATCATTTTAAGTGGAGGTCCACAGAGTAGAGGATTTTCAGCATAATCAAGGGGATCAAAGCTTTGGAGCTGAGTGCCTGTTGGTATTTTACCAGACAAGTTGTTATATGACAAGTCCAAGAAACTAAGACGATCTATTCGAGCAAGGCTTGTTGGAATTCTTCCATCTATCTGGTTTCTTGACAAATCAAGAGAATCCAATGACTGCAAGTTTCCAATCTCTGGAGTTATTTGACCTGTTAACCGGTTTCTTGAAAGGTTTAAAGAAACCAACTCAACAAGATGAGTGATTTCACATGGAATCTCCCCTGTTAATCTATTGCTTGAGAGATCAATTCTCTTCACAAGGCCCAAAGTGCTTTTGTATGTCTGCATTCTTCCTTTCCATATGAAGCTTGCATCATCCTCATAATTATTACCACCAACTGTTTCATCATCCATATGTATGTGATAAGTATGTGTGCTAGATAGACTTGGATTTCCTTTTTGAGACAGAGTAGTCAAATTGTTGAGGCATTTGGGTATGCTTCCAGAGATGTTGTTCATAGAGAAATCCATAATTTTAATGTATGTTAGATGGCATAATTTTGAGGGCATGCTTCCATTGAAGTGATTATTGGAAAACATAAGGATAACCAAATTCTTGAAGCTCACACCTAACCATGTAGGTATTGGTCCTGATAATTTATTATCTCCCAGATCAATAACTTCTAAACTTGTGCAGTTCTTCAAAGATGAAGGCAATTCTCCAACAAATTGGTTGCTTCTTAATTTCAAAGTTTGCATTTGAAATAAAGAGCCCATTGTCATGGGAATTTTTCCGGAAAAAGCGTTGTTACTCAAATCAAGCATGACTAGATTCTCCAAATGGCTCCAGCAATCTGGAAGTTCTCCAGTAAAACTGTTGCTTGAAAGATTAAGATACGCTAACATCATATCTACACTTGCGCACAGGAAAGAAAGAGACCCTGAAATTTTATTATTGGAGAGATCCAGATAGGAGGCTTGTGATAGAGTTGGGGGAATTGGACCTTCTATTTGGTTCGAACTCAAATGTAGTTCTGGGGAATTTGCAAACTCCACTGTCAAATTTGTAAATATTCCTCTGATTAGGTTCTGTGAGAGATTAATAATCTCTGCGTTACGAAAATTACTCCAAAACCAACTTGGAAGAATATCAGAAATTCCAGCACTTGAAATATCAAGCTTGACAGAATCATTTTGAGTTTGAAGCCATTTTGGGAAAAGAGGACCGACCTTGCAGGACGCCAAATATATATAACCCAACTTGAAGGGAGGAACCCAATCAGAATGGAAATTTAAAACTAGTGGGTTATAGGATAAATCCAAATAATATAAATTGGAGAGTTTTGAGAAATGAGTTTCTGAAACCACCCCTTTCAAAGAGTTTTTGCTGAAATCGATAATCCCTAATTGCGACATTTGCCCAATACTTTCAGGTATTTTTACGCTTAATTGATTGGCACTAAGATTCAAGAATACCAAAGATGAGAAGCTTGTAAGATTGTTTAATGACCCCTTAAGAACATTCTCAGAGAGGTCCAGATCCACTAATGAGTTTTGAGCACATCTAGGCAATAGTTGAGATAATTGTCCACTCAGATGATTTCTTTGAAGCCACAATGTTCCCAAATTACACAGCCTTGCAAACGAATTTGGATTCGCTCCTTCAATCTGGTTGTCAGAGAGATCTAGATCCACAAGAGAGCTCATGTTTCCAATGAAATCGGGAATGAAACCAGTTAGACTATTGCTGGAGAGATCCAGATCCACAAGAGAGCTCATGTTTCCAGTGAAATCGGCAATGAAACCAGTTAGATTATTGTTGGAGAGATCCAGATGCGCAAGAGAGCTCATGTTTCCAGTGAAATCGGCAATGAAACCAGTTAGACTATTCCTGGAGAGATACAGATCCACAAGAGACCTCATGTTGCCAAAGAAATCGGGAATGAAACCAGATAGATTATTGTTGGAGAGGTCAAGATGAACAAGGCTTGTACTGTAGTTGGACAACCAAAGAAATATTGAAGAAGTGAGATGGTTGTCAAAGAGATCAACAGACGCAAGAGATGTAGAAGAATTTGTTTTGTAAAGAGTAGTGGAAAGAATTGGAGTAGGAGGAGGAGGAAGACTACATTCCTCCAATCCCAAGTGTACTAGTTTAGGGAGCTTATTAAGTACTGCTTCTGGCCAATCGAAAACAGTACTGAGATTGGCTCCGCTTAGATCCAAATCCGTTAAAGAAGAAAGAGTAGGGAGCCAATTGAGATTTTCTGGTTGAAGCTGATTAAAGCTAAGGTCGAGATTTTGCAATTGCTTGAGGTTTCCAAACGAACTTAGAATTCGACCAACCAAATTACAGGAAGAGAGTCTGAGGTTTCTTAGATTGGTTAGAGAACCAATGAAATCTGGAAATTGGCTCCCATTGAAATTAGTCAATGAAAGGTCCAAAACAGTACTGAGATTGGCTCCACTTAGGTCCAAATACGTTAAAGAAGAAAGAGCAGGGAGCCAATTAAGATTTTCTGGTTGAAGCTGATAATTATAGCTGAGGTCGAGATGTTGCAATTGCGTGAGGTTTCCAAACGAACTTGGAATTTGACCAACCAAATTACAGTAATAGAGACTGAGGTTTCTTAGATTGGTTAGAGAACCAATGAAATCAGGAATTTGGCTCCCATTGAAATCAATGGATGCAAGGTGCAAATATTGTAAATGCTGCAACTCAATCAGTTTAGGACTAATCATCTTACCTTGGAAAGAATATTCAAGAGCACCATGTGGAAACATCTCATCAAGGACAGAATATCCAAGATCAAGTTGAATCACATGGCCAGTTTGGTTGCTACAATAGACTCCTTCCCATCTGCAACAATCTTGTTTTTCGGCTTCTGAACCCCAAGTTGAGAGTTGATTGAAGTCATCCACCAGGCCACGTTTGAATGCAAGTAGTGCTTGCCTTTCCCTCTCTATGCACCTCACTGTCACTTTAGCAGCTTTGAGGCTGTGGCTGTGGTTGTGGCTGTGGCCAACTTCTCCTCCTTTTACGTTTTGTAGGAAAAGGATCGATAATGCAAGAAAGAGTTTGAAGCACCTTCCGTCGCCCTTCATGTTAATTGATCAAAAGCACATGCACATGCAAAAACACTGCAAGTGTATATTGATATATGCTAGCTTGCATCAGATATATATAGGAAAAAAGGAAGAAAGCTTTTACAAAGAAAAACACGATTTAGCTAAAATAGTGCCACACATTCATGGCGCATTGATGCACCTAGACCACTGTAGAATTTTCAAAGACTTTTAAGTCTCCACATCTATATGTAACTCACACGTCAAGTAGGTGTTGGCTGTCCGATTAGACTAGTTATAAATGATGAAGACTTTGCAGAGAAAGATCTACTAAGATTTCTTTTGCTGGAAAAAGGAGGATGATAGATGTAGTGTTCATACTACTATTTTTTAATTTCAATAAAATAAAAATACTATTTTTAAAATTTTGGTTAATTTTTTAATATAAAAAGAATTGTGTACGCTCGGTGACACAGCATGCTGTTTTGCTGAATAGTGACATAGCTCAATGATGCTCTCATACCATGCCATGTGGACAACCACCCTGTATATGTAGGTTCAATTTCAAATATATATGAATGTATCATTCAAAAGGAAAAATATTTTTTTGTCACGGGAATAACACTATATTGCTATCTCTACAATAATGCTTGAAAAAATTAGAGATATTTACCCATTCTTAACACTAAAATTATAAATAAACCCCACACCATTTAATTTTTATAAATAAACCAAAAAAATGACAGTCGGATATATTGAATTTAATTTTGATTATTAAATTACTTTGCTTTTTTATGAGATTTTTGGATTGGGTTTGTTTTAAGAAATCAATGACAGTTTTGTAATTTAAAAGAAGTTAAAATCCTTTTTGTTATGTTGTAAATGGGCTTTGGGTATGTTCTAAAGTCCATTTCATATATGTTTTTTTATTTATAATTTGAGCTCTTATATTAGGTATAATAGTGAATCTTCCAAAAAATTATCCTAGGTGGTTTGAAGCATTTACTAGTATACCTTGTGATTAGTGTGGCAAACAAGTTTAAGGGGAAACATTTCAAGATGGAGTAATACTTTTTTTTCAGGGTTAAATAAATTTTTTTTAGATGCAAAGGAAATTACTAAGACAATCAATGCGGGATCTGCAGATACACATATTTCTCCGGTAAATAAAAAATGACACGTGAAAAAGAGATATTCCTTAAATCAACTAATTATCCTAATTAAATTTTATTGAGCATTTGTCCATCTTAGTAATTTATAACGTTGGGTAGGGAGCTTGCTGTGGACGGCTATCATCAAGTAGACTTTGAAGTCTTCGTATGCAAACTCATGATGACTGACTCACACAAAAAGACTGTAAAGTCTTTTCAATTTTTTGGTTCCACAAAAAGACTGTTAAGTCTACATACTTGAGTGTGAACTAGACTTTTAAGTCTTTGCACATCCGCATTTAACTCAAACGTCAACAAGTGGTAATTTTTTTTTTTTTTCCTTTTCCTTTTCCTTTTCCTTTCTTAATTGCTCAATTACTTTATTTTACCATTTTTATGTTTTTTCTTTCTTTGAAAAGCCAACTGGTCGTAGAGACAAAGATCCAGAAAATTGTTTTTCCACTTGCTAATTTCCCCGAAAGGCCAATAAGCTGCTTGGGAATCTCTTTGGAAAGTGTGCAATTGTGTGTTTTCAAATGAAAGACTGCAAAGTGAATATGAAGGACGCGTGCTCCAACTAACTTGCAGGTATTGACTTGAGAGACTGAAAAGTGAACAAAAGGAAGAGAGACTCACCACTTTAATTCATGTCCCTACGTGGAAAAAGATAAATGAAGACTTGTGAAGACTTGATATGGTGATTTGCCCTTCAATGCGTGCTCCAACTAACTTGCAGGTATTGACTTGACTTGACTTGATAAGGTGCCTTCCCATGTCCACTCAATCAATGGCTTTGCATCCCATCCCCTGGGCACAAGTTACAAATATTTTCTTGCAAAATTTGAACTTGACTTAAGTGAAACATATGGAAATATCTCTACTCAACCTAATATTAATATAATACCTGTATATTTATTGATACTAATACATGAATATTGGGTTTTTATTCAACAACTATAATATGAGAATTTGGTTATTGACCAAGTCTATTTTGAAATGCCCCTATAATTTAGGTTAAACATGGGGTCTTACAATTACACACGAAAGTTTCTCTTATTATAGTGATGATCACGAAACACTTAAGTATATTTAGTGTTGGATATCTGATCATAGAGTTTCGGAGCAGCTTCCTTCATTTTGCATTCGGATTCTTTGATTTGATTTGTTTTGTTGCTCGTTAAGTGATTAGTATATGAATTACTCAGTCCCGTTCTTCTGGACTCCTGTGGTCCAAGGAATTTGTGGTCACCCATCCTTGGATATAAATGATAATATAATGGTGTGAAGAAAGAGAGCTTGGGTGGTGAGATGCATATTGATTGGTTGAGGGGCAATTCTCAGTCAGAATAGGGGCGAGATTCTGAAGACGATGAGCAATTCTCAATCAGGGTAAATTATCTATATATAAAATACGTAAATATTTTTAAAGAAAAAAGGTACATTAATTATAAGAAAATAGGTACATTATTTCTATATTTAAAAAAAAAGTTACTATTGAATTAGTTCTATGAAATAAATAGGTACATTAGTTATGAAAAAATAGGCACGTTATTTATAAAATTAAAAAAGGGTACCAATTTACTTATATTTTGCAGGTATAAGAATTTGCCGAGATTGTACAGGTAGATTAATTATCCATAATTAATTTTTTTTAATCTAAAAAAAGTACAATAAATCAGATTTTAAGTTTAATTAGGTAAATTGATGAGTCGGATCCAATCATTGGGTTTTACTTATAAAAATTGGGTTTTATTTATAAATAAAATAAAATAATGGGTTGTAGGTAAGACATAATTAGTTTGAAGGGCAAAAGTCATATATATTGACTATAAAAGGAAAGTAATATAGTAGTTTAGATTTAGAGTAGTTTGGACGGTGAGCTTACCCCTTACACCGAAGTTCAAACCCCTTTCCGTGTAAATTACATTAGTTTAATGAGTTCAGAGACTATCGCTTGTATACCCAAAAAAGAAATAGTAGCTTTGGTTCTTGTTCCCCTCATTTTATACTTTTTCCTTTTCTTTTCTTTTTTTCCTAAATAATGTAGGGGAGGGGGAGGGGGGCTTCCAAAGTGTAGATCTTTCACCTTCAGTATGCAGGGTGTGCGCTTGTGTGCTGTAACATTCAATGAGGAGTTAATCTTACGAAATCCTCTAGTTATAGAACGTACTCCAGACTCTTTCTCAGTCAATACCACAGTCTGTGGGAAAAAAACAATTAAAGGAAAAAAAAAACTCTCTTCATGATGGAAGTAGACAAGTGATGACTTAATTGTTTTAGTCAAATATGGGCTCGTCTTTTTCTAGTCTCAAATACACTACAAAGAAAAGTAGACTTACAAGTCAAAAGAAGAGAAGGTGAAATTGGTATTTAGGTGAATGGGGTAATTGAAAATCTCAACAGACATATCTAAGACAATAATGATTAATTGTTCCTGGAAAGAAAAAAAAATTGATTTGCAGACTAATGGTCTCAAGTTCGAACTATATATATATATATATAGTGTATGTGAGAAACCACACTCTCATCTAGTTTAGACTATCGCTTCCTTTTCAATGCTACATATATATTTATTATCATTATTTTTTATTTTTTTATTTTTTAAGGCAAAGGTCCCGACACACTCGTGTTTGATTCTAGCATACCAAAATATGTCATAATTTCAAGAAAATGATCATGATGCCTATCCCAAAGTGTTTAATACTTCCACGCTATGCCAATTCTCTTTTTGGTTTTTTTGAGATAATTGGTGTGTCGGCACCTTACGTTGTGTTATAAGCATGAATTTGTAGGAGGAGTGGAGGGAAATGCAAAGGGAAAATTGCTTTGTTGTGCTGCCTCACCGGCGGAAGGGTGATATTTTTGGAGCGCAACAGGCACTCTGTTGGTGCATCTGGCTGGCTAGTTTACAATGATTTCCTTCAAGTGACAAATCAAGACGTGGTTTTCCATTTCGTTCGGTGGATCATCCCGGGGAATAAGTGGTGAAACAGCCTTCTGCTTTCCTCAACCCATCAAGCTGTCCATGGAGCACACACACTTGTGCTTTACTTTCGGATGAGACAGCCTTCTGTATATTGCAGTAATCGGCTACACTTCCTTATTGAAACTCATTCGATTTATATATGTGAATTACAAAAGAACCTGTAATGAACAAGAGAAATAATACCTCCTCTCAAACAAGAGAAATAAATAGATAAAGAAGATATATAAATGGATTTAAAGTATGTCTTTGAAGCATGATTAAAAGCCCATAACATGTCAAGAAGCTCAGTGTGTGTAATACTGGATCAATGGGAGAGAGAGAGAGAGAGAGAGAGAGAGAGAGAGAGAGTAAATGCTGATAAGTGACTCTCTATGCAAAAGTTTAAACCCATGAGATATAATTGGCTCGGTATCATTTATCAAGAAAGTTAGACCCAGGATTGACTAATAAGCAGTATTATCCACTCTGTCTTCTCATCATCAGGAAGATGTTTGAGTAGAAAGACCTCTTCTGGATTAGTACGGCCTTCAAAACTTGCAATCTACAAGTACATCCTCTCCTCTGAGTTGCGGTTCATTTGACTTGCCGAAAACTCCTTTTGTGAGTCTGCCGCCTCACCAATTGCTTGTGCCAATGGATCCTTTTTCGCTTTCTTATTTGGATGCAAGCCGGAAATTGCAGTTGATAGATGTGTCGACGTATGTGAGTTGGGAATAAAATTCTCATCATTTTCTTGTTTAACCTCCATATTTTCTTCAGCACAATAACAGAGAGAAAGTAAAGCATAAAAAACATCCACTAAAGCAGCAAAGAAGTGCATTAACTGCTGACTATTACAACCACAAGGACACAAGATGTGCTGGAGTTCATAATCACATGTAGAAGCAGTTTCATTTTTATTATACAGAAGATGGGGAATATTGTGAATATTTA